TATATATATATATATATATATATATATATATATATATATATATATATATATATATATATATGTATATATGTATATATATGAATATGTATGTGTGTATATATATATATATATATATATATATATATATATATATATATATATATATATATATATATATATATATATATATGTATATATATATGTATATATATATGTATATGTATATGTATATGTATATATATATATATATATATATATATATACATATATATATATATATATATATATATATATATATATATATATATATATATATATATATATATATATATCAGTTCTAAACACTAAAATTGTTAATATTCTTGTTGGTATTTTTGGGTGTTTTTTAAGAAAATGCTAAATTTTTTAAAGACTTTGAGCGATGATTTAATTACGGTTCATATGGGATTTTTGATGAATTCAACTCTGCTTCTTTTTTTTTTAGTATCTTTGAGTTATTATGTACATATGGTTCCTTTTTTTTTTCTTGTTCTTTTGTGATATTTCATCATTAGTAAAATATTGATATGTCTTTTTTTACTACACTTACAAAATAGTTCACTATTTGTAAGCAAGGAATTGACTGTATTACTTTGCCATTGTTTTACTTTGAATGAAACTTCAGGTATTTACTCTTTAATGCCAATAGGACAATAATATGTGCCAATAATTTTCAAGTTTAAATCCGATCAGTAGTTTTTTGCATTTAGATATTTTACTTTATCGCATTTTAAAACATGTACACCTTAATAAATTTAAATACACGGCGTCATGTTAAGTTTTAATCTAAACAGTATTCATGTAAAAGGAAGTGTGAATTATAATATGAATTTGCGGTGAAACCTCACCACAAATTCATATAATTTACCACTAATAAATATATAAGTTATTCTTTAATTTTATTTAAGTATATCTGTTAGGTAATAAACAATATGTAATCAATATTAATTATTAGATCAAATTAAATTTTCTTTTGCCTTCAATCTTGTAAAATAGTTTAAGTTCACTCCTGTTCATATCACCCTGACACTGATTCATCATCTCTTAACTGACCATTGTGTAGTAGATCATTAAAAAATGTATTAAAACATTAAGGTTTTTATAAATCTGTATTTTAATTGTACAAGAATGTAAGAGATATTTGTGATAATAGTTTTTTTCCTACAGCTTTTGAAATAGTAGCTTCTCCTCATAAATTATCAAACAAATTAGGTGTAAATTATCAAACAAATTAGGCTTCTCCTCACATAAATTATCAAACAAATCCTCATAAATTATCTTAACAAAACAGGTCCGATCCTAAGCAGTGTATATTAGATGTTTAGATAGAAAGATGTCTACAATAATAAACATTTGTAGAATGACTCATAATCTTAGCAAAGTTAAATGCAAAAGCTGCATGACCAGTTTTTGCATTACAGGATGTCTCCATTTTCATAGCATAAAGCACCTGTGCTTTCCGCAAGTGAAGTTCTTTTTGTTTACAACTTTTAATGAGCTAATATGCAGAGGTGTCTTATTATTTTTATTCACATATTTTAGCATGTTACAAGAATTATTAAAGTGCCAACACAAGTTGTGCTCATATCATAAACAATCTAATTGTATAATTCTGTAAATTGTTTAAAAAACTCTGTGGTAAGTACATTTATTATTCATACCAGATATCTTAACAATGGAAAAAACTATGCAGATGGAGTTAATATTAACCTCTCAACGAGAAGTATAATTGAAAAACAACAAATGTTTTAAGCCAATACCTCAATAGGTAATTTGTTTTGGTAATTTTAATAAACTCAAAACTTATTTTCTAACATTTAAATACAAAGTAAACATAACTTGTCACTTGGGAAGAAAAAGTTTACATTTTGAACTTATAAAAAATCACAAAAACTAAATTAAGAAATATCAGTTTATAAAATTTATTAAATAATCAAACATTATTTAAGTGCATGTAGCTTTCATGACAAGTTTCATTTTGTTCGAAGCATTCCACAGTGGGACCGATGATGAAAAAAACCTTGAAAAAATATTTATCATATTCAAAACCATATAATAAAATATATTGGTAATAGTCTATTTTACTATTTTAAAAATTGTTTTGAGTATAATAGTATCTTTTAAAACCACAAAAATCAGTTGCGGTTTCATGTAAAATGAAAAAAAAAAAAGTGTGAAATTTTTAATTTTTATGCATAGTTATAGTAAACAGTAACTTTTAAGGTTCTATGAGCATACGGAATTAGTTTATATGTTTAAACTATTTAACAGAATAGCTTTACAGAAAAAATATAAAGTAAAGATCAGCATTTATAGTTTTCTTATAATCTGGCTTTAAAATAATAAGGTAAATTTGTAACATTTAATACTTTTATTTTGTTCAAAAAGTGTCACATAGTTAGTTGCTTGAAATGGTCTTTTTTTCTTCAAAATAAAAATAAATGTTATTTTGTTTGTTATCTAATTCAATACAAATTGTACTGTTAACCTAATTTTTTTTTTTTTTTTGTTTGTTTAGTAATATGAAAAAAGTCCATTCATAGACTTATACGATAAAGTAAACTAATTCCAATTGATATATCATTCTTTTGATCAATATTAACTCTTCTATATTCTGTAGATATCAAATTAGAGGATTCTGAATGCAAAAACTTTATAAGATTATATTGTAAAAAGTGGACAGCTTCAAACAATAAAGAAACTCATTTTGAGTAAAGTAATGAAATTAGCTAGCTCAAGATTTTCAATATGCCTAGACTTTATTAAATGCTACACAACCAGTTAATGAAGTTGGGAAACCATGTTTCTCTTTTGGAAAAGCTTGTAACAGAGCAAAAAAAAGAATGCTTAACAATGTTATCAATAGTTTATCTAGTCCCGAATTAATTCATACAAAGTTGAAACTAAAAAGCGAGTTTAAGTTTGAGACTGCCGCAAAAGTTGCTGAAGCCCAGTTGAAGCTGCTATTATTGCTAAAATTTGAAATAAAAAACCCACTGAAGCTGCTAAGAAATAATCACCTGATGACTAACATTTATTATTGATGGTGATATATCAAAATCAACATTCCAGCTTCTAAGAAATAATACTGAAGAAAAGGACTGCCACATATATACTAAGAGCATTCATGTAGATGACTATCCAGTAGCAAAAAGATCTTCTAAAATACACTTGACTGTATGATGTACAAGCTTCTGTGCTAATCACAATGCTAAAGGGATTAACTAAACTGACATTTAGATGCAAGGCTGGATTTGATGGTGCTACAGGACTCGTGTTAACAAACAGGTAAGTCAAAATGAAAACAGTGAACAAGGTCTAACAAATGAAGAGTGCTTGTTTATTATTTGCATAGTATCTTTAGAACTAAGTGGACTTAATAATAACAAAAATGTTGTAATATTATTTATTCAGAATATGTGATCAATAGATTAAAATAAAAATATATATTATATATAGAGATGATAAACAATCTATTGACTTGTTTAAAATGTTATAGACATATAGTAATTGGATAATAGAGTTTTAAATCTACTGATAAATTATCATTTTTTCTTAAGTAAGTGTGTTAAGTAAGTTAAAGTTTATTCCATCAATTTTTTAAAAAAGTTTTTCCACCAGATGCGAGGTAATGTTGCTGAGTTGCTATATTACTTTTGTTCATCAAGATATTTGACACCAATATAAACATTTGACATGAGTATAAACATAAAGAGTTTGTTATTCAGTTTCCATGGTTTTGAGAAATTAAAGGATTTAAAATTAAATAATTATAAATCAGTGATTTAAAAAGATTTATAAAGTTTGTCAAATAATTATTGGTATTAAGTAAAAGTAAAGTGATTGGAAATTTTTTACTAGGGGATCATCCATAAAGGACGTCACTTTAAGTTTAACTAATGACAAAAAGTAGGAGAATGTTGGCTCTTGTGTGCAGAGATTTTAAGAGTAATATAGCGCCTTATATTGAATGAAAATCTCCGCAGAAGAGAACCAATAAACTTCTACTTCTGGTTAGTAATTAAATTCTGAATGATGTCCTTTATGGACAACCCCTAAAGAGTTTTAGTAAAAAAAAAAAAAAAAAGTTGTCACACCATGTCTCATATCTTGCACCCACTGCGCACTTCTTGTACATACTATACATTTTTGATAAATCACCTCTGGCAAATACGTTTTTCTAGTGACATTTAAATGCCTTTGTAATGCTTTAAATGACTTGATTTGATCGATAATACTATTAAAATTATGTTTTGTTATGTGTAATTATTTTATGGCAAAAAAGGTTTTCCTTTCTGGTTTTTAGATGGAATTATGTAATCAAGTTTATGAGCTTTGTAATGTTTTAAATCAAATTAATAACTTTTAATTTCACAAAAAATCATTTCTTTTGTTATTTTTGAGAGGGAAATTTTTTAAAAATACATTTGAGTATTGTGTATTTTATGCAAAGGAATGAATAGTAAAAGCATTTAAATAAATAGTAAAATATGTTTATCAATATTTACTTTCTTGTTGATCTTTACTTTCTAAAAAACTTACATGGAAAATATATTACATGCAATTATAGTCTTTTTTATTTGTTCCCATTCCCAGCTAAGTTTAGAACTATTTTGGATATTCTGTAATAATTTCTGACATATTAACAAATATAAAAGTATTATAAAACCAGATTGTTTTTTATTAGAAAAGTACTGTTCACATATAATGACTCACATGAGCTTTTTTATCATTATCATGAAATAATTGTTATCACCTAGAAAAATTGTTTAAAATTTTTAAACAGCATAAAATTTACTTTCTAACCTATTTTTTAAAACATAAACCCTGGCTTGTTAAACCCTCTTAAATTTCCCATAATCTAAAGTAAGACAACAAAGTATAATTGTTTGAACTTAATTTCTTTAATTTATTAATTATTTAAAAAAATTATATTTTAGTAATAATGATGTAATTATATATATTGTTTAATTAAATTTTAGTTATTTCTGGGGTTGGTTGACAGATAAGATTGGACGCCGCCCTGTTTTACTTATTTCAGCTTTATTAACATATGTTGCTACACTAGCCTTTGGTTTTACCACTGGTATCTATTGGGCAATTGTTACAAGATTTTTACAGGGCTTATTTAATGGTGAATTTTTAACTCAATCTTTTTTTAAAACTTTTTTTTAGATCATTTTTTTATATATATTATTTTGTTCAACTTTCGTTTTAATTTTTTTTTTTTTTTGTAAATAAAAGGAGTCATAGTAGTAGGAAGAGCAGCATTTGCTGAAATATGTGACAGCACAAATCAAGCAATAGGTGTCTCCCTTGTGTTTGCTGCTTGGAACTCTGCAATTGTAATGGGGCCTGCCTTTGGAGGTGTGTTTTATTGTACCATAATAATTATTTAACCAGTTATGTTTTAAATTTTATATACTTTTTATAAAAAACTAGATTTGTGGGAAACATGTCATAGGGTTATTAAATGTAATAACCATTAGAGTTAAAACATTTTAATAATGTTTAGGTATGAACTCAGTCATGTTTAGGTATAGTTTGTGCAGTATCCCAGAAAATAAATGACATTTTTTTCTATATATTTTTAATGTTGAAATTAATTGTAATACATCAAAAATACATCTAAAAACACTATGTGTTTGCTGAGATGGGTGTTCAAAAAATTAAAATATTTTTTCAAACTTTAAGCATTTATTTTTTCAAACTTTATGCATTTTTCAAACTTTAAGCACTTTGAAATATACATGCTTTTTTTGACGCAATCTACATACTTTATAATTTACTTAAGTGTGTTTAATTTGTAAGAGTTTCAGTATAAAAAATGACATCATTGTAGAATATACATACAATTAGCAAGTCACTTTTATTTGTGTTATTTTGTACTAAGTCTCAAAGCATATTTGTTTATAAATTAAAAATAAATTAGTACCTTTGCTTTTTTAAATTTTATTAAAGAAACTTATAAAAATTTTCACCATAATTGTATATATCTTTGATATAATTATAAGTTTGTAAAACATTTTATGTTTTAAAAATAAACATTTCTAATCAATTTATTAATTTTTTCATGACAATACGTATTATCGTAGTGCTGTGAATGTTATATTGCTCTGATTTAGGGGTGCAGCAAAAAAGTTTCGCAGATCAAAACCCTCCGTTGGGTACTTTTTTGAGTTTTGATGTTTTATTTGAAAATAGTTTTATGTTTTATAACTACTATTATTGTTTATATATAGTTATGTTTATTTTTTATTTTTATTTTTTAAAGTTTCGTAGAAAAAGGCATCAATATGTACATAAATGTAGCTGTAGTTGCAGTTGAGTGTACATTACATTGACTGAGGGATAAAATTTTGGCAGGCATTCTTTTAAATAAAAGATAAATATTTCAACATTTACTAAATAGGGTTTATATATAAATAGGTAAATTAGTTTATGTAAAAAAATTATTCAATTAAATTACACTAAATTTTTAGTTGAAATAATCAAAATAATTAATAAACTTATGTTTAAATACGCACATACAAGTAAGAAAAAATTTGTTGTACACGCACAAATGATGCCTACATTTTTTAATAGTAATAATAATAATAATAATAAGTAATACATGTTAAATTTTATTTAAAAATATTCTCACATGACTAAATTAGAATTTCGAGAATATATGTACACCATGAAAAGTTTTAATCTTTTATATGTTTATACAATAGAAAACATTTTTTTTAACAGAATCTTGATAAAAATAATCATTTAATAACATTAAATTTAATACAAAACTAATTTATACCAATAAACAAGCTTAAAATATCAAAAAGATTTTATTCATTTTTAATGTGAATTTTGAGAGAAAAAAAAATTATATAGAATTTCTAGCTTTCTTATCAAAAATTACAATGACTTCAATTACTAGAACTCTTTGGAATTAAACGTGCTTGAATAAATTATAAAGTATGTATATAGTATTTTAAAGACTTAAAAATCACATTAAAATGGAGAATGTGAGCCTTGACTAAAACTACAAATTTAGTTTTTCTTTGTATATGTATACTGACCCTAGCCTGTGTTCAGTTTCTCCTCTTTCTCCTTTGGGTAGTTTGAACCATGCAATCATCTCTCTTAATATTTTATCTCATACTTCTACTTTAGACTCACCTTATCACCACAATACTTCTTACCTATAACTGACGGGGATTCTTTTGATGATTTTTTTTGTGGCAGTCATGGAATAATGTCTTTCATCTCTATGCTGATAAATACACTTCCTAAGTAATCTCCTGGATCCAGGTAGGTATGGAAGCTTTTATTCCTTCTTGTCAGTTTCAAGTGAAGCCTCATTCTTCCCATAGTTTTCATTGCTTTTTCTAATCATAATCCAAGTCAAGCTTATTCTTGTCCATTGTTCCAAGTCAAGCTTCATTCCATGGTTTTTGACTTCTTGTGCAGCTACTATATCTAATCATAATCATTTTTTTTTATCTTTTTCACAAGAGTAACTCCCTTAACAACATACATTATTGCAAGAAGTCAATGTAAAAAGGTGTTGTCTGATGATAAGCTTCAATATTCTCAGTTTACTAAATCTTGTAACTTATCTCAGAAGTTAGGTCGTCAGAAAACTTTTAGAAAATCTTCAAGTGTCAATAACAAAGGTCTCAAATATATGGGTCTGATCTAATAACCTCTCCCATGGATAAGGCAGAACAATTAACCCATTGTTAGACATCCAAATCACTCTGACTACGGTTGTTGAAGTCAATTGTCAATTAAACTCTTTTAAAGTTTGTGGTCCAGACAACATTTCTGTCATAGTCTTACAAATTTTTTCTCCAGAACTCTCTTCAATTGTCTCTAAACTATTTAATAAGTGCTTGACTGAATCTTGTTTTTCTCTTTGCTTGAAAATGGCACTTGTGGTTCCAGTTTTAAAAAAATCTAGAGAGCACTCTGAGCTTTTTAACTATTGTCCTATCAATCTTCTCTCTTTTATTAGCAAGTCCTTTGAGTCAATATCAATCTTCTCTCTTTTATTAGCAAGTCCTTTGAGTCAATAAATTTTTTTTTTTTTTTTTGAATCAATAAAAATTTTTTATTCCATCTTGAAGGTTATGCATTGGACTAAGGTAGCAAAGCTTTAGCAAAGCTCTAGGGCTCTTGCTCTTCACATTTAAAACGTTTCGATAAAGTTTTTCTGATCTTCATAAACTTGCATATGAGATTGTTAAATCATTTCTTTCTAACTGTATTAATAAAGTCATCCTCAAAGGATAATACTCTTCTTCATTTCCAGTAATTCCTGGGATATCGAAAGGTTCTATCCTTGATCCTGTATTGTTTTTTATCTACATTAATGATCTTCCTGAAAATCTTCTTAAGTGACTATTAAATCTTCTAAAGTGGCTCTATTTAACTCCAACAAAATTCAGTTATTTACTGCAAAAAACTATTATGAAATAAGTTTTATACTTCCATGGTCTAGCTAATGTGAAATAAGTTTTATAAATCTATGGTCTAATTAATGTGAAATAAGTTTTAAACTTCCATGGTCTATCAAAAATAATTAAAAATTAAAAAAATAATTTACACTTTGCTTGATGCAACAATACATATTTTTATGTAAAATACAAGATTTTTTAAAAAAGATATTTTTTGTTTTCATATATATATATATATATTATTATTAAATATATGTATATTTTTGCACATGTACTGTTTATGCATAAACATTTTTTATAAACATTTTTATTTTTATGTGCTCGGAATATTCATCCAGTTTCACTGATCTATATGTGCTGGGAACATTCATCCAGTTTCACTGATCTATATGTGCTGGGAATATTCATCCAGTTTCACTGATCTATATGTGCTGGGAATATTCATCCAGTTTCATTGATCTGTTTTTACTTATTATGTCATAATGGTCATGATATTATATTTTAAAAAGTTTCAAGTGAAGATTAAAAATGATTAAACTTAATTTTTTTTAAAGGTTTTCTTGCTACACCAGTGATCAAGTACCCAAATGTTTTTAAAGGTAACTTTTTATTACTTTAAAATCTTTTTCTATAATAATAATAATAATAATAATAATAATAATAATAATAATAATAATAATAATAATAATAATAATAATAATAATAATCAGCTTGGAAAATAAGAAATCAAAGACGAGCAGTCAATTTGACCTGCTAACATGTGGAATTGATGGTCAATTGTTTTTTTTTTGGATAGTCAATATTTTTTTTGTTTAAATTTCTACCTTAGTAATTCTTCATAAATGAGTTTTATGTATACAAAAATAATTTAATGCTTGAAAATTAACAAATTCTTATTCCTTTTAAAACAATAATTTTAAATAAAATCATTTTTTAATTAGAAAAGCGAAACACTTTTTTTAAATGGAAATGCAAATAACTAACATTCAAATTACCAGCTAATGTTAATAGTTTAAAACAACTCTCATACACACAGATTTCCATTCAATTAAAAAAGGAAGTTTGATACCATCCAAGTAATTTAATTTGGAACTTTTTTAAATATCAAAACAATTTTTGTTAAATATTTAAAAAAATTTAAACTGAATATTTAGTACCAAAAGAAATTGTTTTGTATTTATAAATGTATATATAACAATTACTTATGATAACATAAAACAAAGTTTTTACTAAAAATGTAATTTTAAATATATGTTTTGTCTGATTTCTTGATTAATAGAAGAAAAAAAAATTATATTTTAAAATTTATTTAAAAATAATTTATTTGTTGCAATGATCTTGTAGATGGCAGGAAAAGCTACAAAAAAAATAAATGAAAAGATTGAATGAAAAAAAAAAAGTACAGTTAGAAGAGGAAATGTCCATTATGTACAACAATTACAAAAAATTACGAGAAAATAAGAAGTTAAAAACAAAGTACAGTTGAATGAAAAAGTATTCTAAATACAACAGTTATTATATATTACTATATTGTTATTAAAATAGTTAGTTAAATATTTTTATCAAAATAGTAATAAAATAAGAACTTTAATCATTTATATAAAAAAAGATTTTTAGAACCAAATAATCTAAATAAGTGAAGCAAAAAAAAGTTAATATATATAGTTTACGTCAATTGGTTTGTAAACAAAGCGAATTAAAGTAACATACCGTAAACAATAAAACTATTTTAAATGCATTATAAATAATTTTATAAAATTTTAGTAAATACATTTTCCAAATTACATCCTGATTATTTGTCAAACCCTGTTTTTCAAAACTCTGACTTTTTTTTAACCGGTCAACCATGATCGGCAAGAATTTATTTTGGGAGGTCAAAATAGCAATTTTAGTCATTTCAGGCAGTCGTTGACCATTGAATGGCTGTTATTTTCCATGTTGATAATAATAGAAATAATGATAATAAATAGTAATAACAGTAAAAGTAATAATAATACAGACTTCTTTTTTTTTTTTTTTAATTTTAAAAAATTTTTTAGGTGTATCTAAAAGATTTTTTACAAAGTTTGCATTCTTGTTACCAAGCGCATTAATCTCTATCATTCTGATGCTGTCCATTATATTGATTTTTTTCAAATTCGATGAAACTATCAAAAGGTAAATAAATAAATACATACGTTTACAAATATATAAAATTACATAAGTACATATATTCAGATATTGTTCAAGGATTTAGTTATTATAATTCTTTAAATATTGTTTAAAATCTTTATTTTATACTTATCAAGTTTGAAGTTTATTTTAAAATATTTAAAAGGAAATGAATCAAGAAAAAAGTGTTTTCTTGTCAAAAAACAAATTTAAAACATTAATTACAATTTAATTTTTATAATATATCTTTTGCACCTTAAATTGCACATCAGTTATTTTATATTATAATCGTAATGAATATATAACAGGGCTTGAAATAGTTGGGTGGAGTTTGTCTGAAACTAGTCTGGCAGAAACCATTGACCATCAGTTGTTATGTAAACTAATATATATGCATTTAAAACAAGCATTGAATGTGTGATAGGGCAGTTACCAAAAAATTTAAGTTTTCAGATAAAGCTTTAAATTGTGTAGTGAAACACTTTCAAGAGCCACTGCTAGTAATATTTTTCCAGATATACCTATTGAAACTCTAGAAGTTCGAGAACTTTCAATAAAGTTAATATATTTTAAAGTTAAAATTTAATACTGTGTAACATAATGTGCCCTATTTACTTAGCCAATATCCAATTCTAAACTGGAAGAATGTTTTTTAAAGATGAGAAGCATAAAAATGCCCCTCTTTGTTAACGGTGGCTTGCAAAGAAAACATATTTCACATTTTGGAAGATTCTTTAAGAATAGAAAAAAATGTTCTTCCAGCAAAATGGTTTTATCATGCATTAGATAGATTTGGAGAGGTTGGGGCTAGAGGATTTGGAGGTTGCTCTTGACATTTCTAAAGCCTTTGATAAAGTTTGGCATGCTGTTCTTCTCCATGAGCTTTCTTCTTATGGTGTATCAGGTAACATTTTTAAGATTATTGAATCCTTCCTTAACAATTGTAGTATACAAGTTGTCCTCAATGGACAGTGCTCTTTTTCATTTACTGTAAATTCAGGAGTTCCTCAAAATTCTACCCTTGGTCCTATACTTTTTAAAATTTACATTAACAATCTCTCCGAAATTCTCACATCTTAAGTGGCATTGTTCGCTTATGATACTAACATTTACTCTTATCTTGATAAGAAGCCAACACTCTCTGATTGCTTGAAGGGGGCATTTGAGCTTGAAAAGGATTTCACTTTTGCTTCAGCATTGGGCTCTCAGTGGCTGGTGAACTTTAATTCAGATAAAACTTAATTTTTTTCAGCTAATCATTATTGCAACAATCTAGATCTTCCAATATATTTATGATCCTGTGTATATTCACCTTTATCTTGTTTTTCTGATTCATATAATTTGCTATTTTTTAAGCTGTCTATTAATCGTTATCTTGCTTTATAAACTTCATTTTTTCTCTTCCAGTAACTTTTAAACTATAATAGTGGTTGCTTGCAGCCTTGTTGGAAGTGAAGATGTTTATAATAAAAAAAAAGAAATTTTGTTTTACCATATGGTTGTTGTTTAAAAAGTAACAAAAAGTTATACTGGCAGCAAAAAAAGTTGTTAGCACTAATATTCAGAAGGCTTTTTAATATTCCAAAAAATTAAAAAGCCTTCTGCTCGTAAATTTAGATCAGGAAACAGTTTTGTGTTTCAACATTAAAATGACCCAAAACATACTGTCAATTCAACAAAGGAATATTTTTGAATGTTAGTGTGATGACCTTGATGGTCAACCAGTCCTGCGCAGTCCTCGATCTTAATTCCATATAACATTTGTATTGCGTTAGTGTCATTGCTAACTGGAAAATTTAGATTCAACCTAACAGAAGACAAAATAGTATAAAGAGCTGCGATTGTTGAAGCATAAAAGAAAATAAATCTAAAAGAAACAAAAGCTCTGGTGGAATCGATGCCTTGATGTCTGCAAGTGGTCATTCAAAGGGTGGTAAAAAGGCAAAAGAGTTAAGAGTAAAAAGGCAATTAAGTATTAAAGTTTTTTGTTTAAGTTCTGAAATTTATCTAATTTGTACCATTATTTTTTTTTTTTTTTGCTTGAAAATTTTTGATGAATCTAAACACAGTTAATTTTGCAATGTCATATAAAATTATATTTGACTATTTTAAAATACTGGTATTTTTAAATAATTGATAACTTTACTGTTTTAAAAAAGTAAAAGCATAGTTTGTTTTTAATATTTTATATAAATTTAAAAAAAAATTGCAATTTATTTTTTTGTCTGTTGTATCTGTAAAAAATGAAATAAGTATAATTTGAATTCAAGCATAGCAGGATTATAATATGTAAAAAAAATATACCAAGGTGTATTTTGTAGACAGCTGCATATGCATGTATATATTTAAGAATGCCATTTTTATTGTAAAAGATGTGAGATCTATTGTTTTTGGCATGTTACTGCTATGGTTTGATTGGATAAAATAATTATGAACAGGTTTTTTCTACAATTAGTGCAAAAAAATTTGTTTTTTTTTTAATCATCAGTAAAAAGGTAGCAAAAACATTGACTATAAATAATTACATCGGCAGAGACAGTGATAAAAGCAAAGACCAACTAGAGATTTTAAGCAAATTCAAAGGCATTTACTTGATATACTAAAAAAAGACCGTTTCTATTTATGAAAAATGCTCTTGAGAAAGCAAGCAATGTGGAAATTCAGCTTTGTCCTTGAAAATTTATTAACTATAATCTCTATAAAAATTCTAAGATTAAAAACATTTTAGTTTATACTATATTTAGTATAAATAAAGACATTTTTATGAGGCCTCTAGGACTCAGTTTTAGTTTATGTGTATTATGTTTAGTTTATGTTTTTATGTATATTATGACTATTATTACAAATAGTATTTAGTAATAACAATAATTTAAAAAATTTAAAATAAAAAATTAAAAAATTGGTTTAAAAAAAATTAATGATTTGTTGTTCGTGAATAGTTTTGTGTGTTTTTTATACACACAAAACTAATGATTTTGTATACACTGTGCAGTTGGAACAGCTTGGCAGCATATTGATAAAAGTATTTTTTTGATTTAAACTACAAAAGGCAGTAAGCAGAAGCTTGATGCATTAGTTGTTTTGTTTAATTTTTTAATTATTTCCTGTAATTTTGAGAACATTCTTTTTACCTTTTTGGCATAAAACTCATTGTACTTGCAAACACGCGAAGCTTTTATGTTATCAGTTTTGTGATTTTCATATAATTATTTCTTGTAATTATTAAAATAATTGTCCATTACATTTGAAGTACAAGGCTCAAATTAAGTGATCGTGAATTGCAATATCTGAAAATATTTCTGGTCATTAAGTTCTCAGTTTTTAAAAACCGTAAACACTGTTTTAATGAAGCAGTCAATTTATTGTATTACAAAAATTATTGAAAAAAAACAAAACAATAAATTTACTACTGCAAAAATAATAACAATCAAAACTTTTTTTTTAAACACCAGGTAATTAAAGGATTATAAATAAGAAAAAAAAAAGTTAAAAGAAAAAAATAATTATCAAAAATCCGAAAAATTTGCGCAGCAATTTAAAAATCAACCAATAAAAAATTATGCTAAAGCTATTTGCGCCTTGTATGAAACATTAATATCAATTTTTGTTTAGGGTGAGAGTTAAAGGAATTATTTATTTAAAAATTTAAATGTTTTAAATTAGAAACTAATTCATTAATAATAAAAATAATAATAAAAAAGATATATTTTAAAATAAGTTATAAGAGTTTTTATGTTCTGTTTTAAAATAACTATAAAAAGTTTAAATTAGTTTTTTATATTTTTAAACTCCTCTGTCTTTTAATTTTTTGTACATATCTGCTAAAGAGATATGTCAATTTAATTTATAAGAAAATATTCAATACGATTTAGATAAGATATAAAAGTATTTTCTTATTTAACAATTTCTTTTATGTAAAATATTTGATCACTGCTTAATTCCTTTAGACTGTTGTTATTTGCGTTTGTTTTTTTATAATTTGTTATTTTTTGTGCTATATATTTTTCTAGTTTTATATGATGATTTATAAAATTAATTAAAATATTAAAGTTTAAATCATATTCTTTAATAATAAAAAAAGCAATAATAATAATATGGTTTTACAATAAGATTTGGTAAAATCATAATTCAAGATCAGTATAAATATTTTCTATTTAGTAACAGCTATTGAGTTTAGTGATCAAACAGAGTTTACAGTTTTTAAAAAGCCTAGAATTTAAAGACCAGAAGCATCTCTAAGTATCACAATTCGTGATCACTTAATTCGAGCCCTGAAGTGCAAGATGAGGCTCTGTTTAATACTGCTTTGTTATGTAATATATCATGTTTGCATCCCCTTTTAAAATTATGCCACCACTCTAATGAAAGTTTACCATCTTTGTATAAATTCTATTCTTTTGTATTTTTCAAATAAAGTTCAACAATAACAATTATATTGGCTTGTATCAAACAATAAACCCAATTGCTAAATCATTGAATTAAATGAATTAACAACTTTTCAGTTTTAACTGATAAAGCTTTTGGCCTTCCACTTCTATGCTGCCCTGCATTTTGACTTTTCTGTCAATCAATGTTGATTTTGGTTCATTGAACTTAAATGCACACATAACAATATTTCTTGCTCTCAATTTTTCCAAGCATTTTCAACATCTTCTTTTCTGTTGTTATTTTGTTGTTGTATCTTCTTTCTTGTTGTGGTTGTTGTTTGCCATTTTTTTGACAGTGATGATTTTTTCATTTTTTATATTAGTTTGTAGGAGATAAGATTAACATAAGCATATTAACAGAGAGAAATGGCGTTCATTTATAGAAATAGAAAGAAATTTAAAGAGGAACTAATAATGTAGATTATTATTTTATTAATTACTGGCTGAAGTAATTGTGGAAGTAATTATTGTTTATTTCTAGTCACTTAATGCAACAAATAATTTTCATTTATTGCCACAAATATTTAATTATTATTTATTAATTATTGACAGACTTAAGTGTAGTATTCTTGTTTTTAG